TGGGGGGAATGCTCTTTACATTGGGGGTCAGTGGGAAGAATTGGTGTCAGGGACATTTCTGATTGTTGGAGGATTCATAAGCTGGCCATACACTGGTTGGGTTCTGGTTGAGTCATGTGACCAGTGTGGCCCCCCCAGTGATCACATACAGAATACCATAGAGTTGTGGGGTCCCCCCATCCATGCTGTCAGTGTAATTGGAGGACCCAAGTCTTTTTCTCATAGGGATTCCCTTTGCTCCTCAGCTCCATCTAGTGGCGGTGATGTCATTATAAATCAATGTATGATGGGCGGCATTCGGTTACCATGGAGACCCGGCTAGGATCTGCTGAACTCCCCTCACTTTGTAGTGATTTCCTCTCACTTCCTGTTGTTTCCCTGGGACTGGAACTGAAGGGAAAGTCCTCCAACAATATACAGACAAGAAAAATAAACTTTTATTTCTACCCTTTTCTGCATTTAAACCACACTAAAGGCTTCAGGGCATTGCCAAGCCTCGCTGAGACTTATAGTGCCGTGCAGGCCCTCTGACGCAGGCTGGAGTTTGGCACCACAGCTCCCACAATTCCCCGCGCTCTCTGCCCGGCCTGAGGGGGTGGGCGCGCCGCCGCGGTGACTGACGGGAGTTGTAGTGTCGGGGGCCGGCGTCACGTTGTTTTGGCTGGCGAGCGGGAGGCGTCGGTAGTCATGTCTCTGGTGGCTTATGCTAGCAGCGAGGAGAGCAGCTCGGACTCGGAGACGGCACCGGAATCCCGGACAGAACCTCTACCCCCTCATCCTCCGGGTCAGGCCGAAGCCGCGGCCTATCCTGCCCCCTACAGCCGCCAGGGGGAGCAGCACAGCCCCGGCTACTATGGGCCCCCAGGAGGGGTGTACGGCCTGCCCTACCCGCCTGGATACGGGCCTCCTCCTAACTATGGACCTTCGTCCTATGGGGCCCCTGTCTACCCTGCCACTCCGGGGCCCCCGGGATATGGTGCCTATAACAGCCAGGGGCCAGGGCCTGGCAGCTACCCCAACATGGGGTACAGTCCTGCAGGGTACCCCCCACCTGGCATCAACCTGCCCCCAGCTCATGGGGGGCCATCTGGAATGAACCTACCACCCCCACAAGGGGCATCCGGCATGAACTTACCTCCCCCGCAGGGGGCATCCGGCATGAACTTACCTCCCCCGCAGGGGGCATCCGGGATGAACCTTCCACCCCCGCAGGGGGCATCTGGGATGAACCTGCCACCGCCACAAGCTGGCCAGAGTATGAACTTACCCCCTCCGCAGGGTGCCCAGGGTATGAACCTTCCTCCCCCACACAGTGGGTCTGGTATGAACCTCCCCCCGCCCTCGGGCAGCCCGAATATGAACCATCCGCCAATGCACGGTACCACGGGACTGAATTTGCCGCCCCCCCAGGGTGGCTCCGGACTACACTTGCCCCATCCCCAGAACACACACGGCATGAGCATGCCTCCTCCCCAAGGCGGTCACGGACTGAACATGCCCCCCCCTCAGGGTGGCCATGGAATGAATCTCCCTCCCCCGCAGTCCAGTCCCGGACTCTCGTCCGGCGCGGAGCCACGCATGCCTCCCCCCAAACCTGCCGGCCACGGACTGAACCTCCCGCCCCCAGAGAGCGAGACTTCTGGAAATTCCAAGCCCAGGAAGCGGCCGGAGCCCGTGAGGATCAGCGTTCCGGAGCTCCGCGGTGGTGGAGATGTAAGGATCGGAGAACGTGGAGCCGAGAGGTTTTGTTTACAAACAAACATCATGTGATCGCCGTGTCAGCTGACCCGGTGATCACATGATGGGGAGCTGACCCGTGATCACATGATGGGGAGCTGACCCGGTGATCGCATGATGGGGAGCTGACCCGGTGATCACATGATGGGGAGCTGACCCGGTGATCGCATGATGGGGAGCTGACCCGGTGATCACATGATGGGGAGCTGACCCGGTGATC